GTGCTGCAGCCTTGCCTGGACCCTGCGTCGCGTTTGCGAACGTGTCGTCTGATCATTTTCGCACCTAATTTTGCGAAAGAGTTAGACGGGCGCCAGACTACCCGTACGGCCGCTTCACCCACTTCGCTATTGGTCGAACTAGTGATTTCACCAATAGGGAAGTGTGAAGCGACTAAGCGCATAAGTCTGGCACCAGCCTCACAGACGGGTACGTTGCAATTACGCGTGAACGAGGCTGCGCGTAGGACTCGATCCGCTCAAGTCGCTCTCGCTCCAAATGAGACAAAGGGTGCATAAAGTATGTATCTCGAGATTGTTCCCGGCACAACCGCAGCAATTGCTGCCTTTGACACGTTGGCACATAAGAATCACGGTTCGAACGCTTAAAAGCGAGCCAAAACCAGTGCAAAAGAGCGAAATCATGCAAGGTAGTCGCACCTAGCGCCTAAAAAGAAAATGAAGGTGGGTTTCGAGATCAGCATCACGAATATCAGCCAGTAACCTTCTCAAAATCTTTGTGAGATAGTACTCTTTCCTAGTTGGTGGAGGAAATATGGTAGGTAAATTGAACTTGAAATGCTGACCCCTTGAAATGCTGCGTTACTGCAAGCACTACCTAGCGATGCTGCAACAGCAGCACGACAGAAAAAAGAGGCCTGTGAACATCAACATGTTCAGGATGCAAGATTTTGAAAATGACATCATGCTGAAAAGCATTATGCTAATGACCAATTTACTACAATATTCTAATCAAAAACTACAGACAAAAAACTGGCGAAAGAAAGCCCACATCTTCCTAAAAACAATCTAAAGATAAGGATGACACATTGTAATCAGCGTCAATTACTGTACTCTGCACGAAACCTGCATCACATACTGCCACTTCAACTACATTTCCCTCCCTTTGTTCATTTCAGGAACCGCTTTCGTCCGACAAAATATATACTCCAATGAATGCACTCAAAGTGAAACTTATAGTCCGGATGAGTAGAGAGCCAAAACGTGAGAGTGACACATGCGCGATCCAACCCAATTAGGAACATCGAGTTTTTTCTTCATTTTTCGATGTGAGCCTACTTTCAATAAGACCGAGAGTACGCCTTCGCCTAACCAAAATTCAAAACCATTAGAAAAAAAACTCGTTATTCCATGCGATAAGAATAAAGCTGAATTGAAAAATAGCTGACATGGCAGATCGTATTTGTGACTGTATGTATGGATGGTGGTACGGAGCGATCATTAAATACACAAGAAGAAATAAGAATAGAAAAAAACCTTCATCTAGTGTCTTTCCTGCAGTCTCAAACAGGAAATAGTGACAATCTCCAGGAAGCAATAAAATTGTAAAATTGGGCCAATATATTCGATGATTCACTTTTTCATGCGTTGTTGTCAGGAAGAAAATGTCAAATCGCACAATATCGGCATGGACATGTCGAAACAAAGCGTGAATCGGTTGAAATTAAGGCGAGATAGAGATAAAAAACGAATCTCGAAGACCTCGACACAAATGAGAGAGAAAGAAAAAGTGTCAATCAGGTGAATCCTTCTTCCAATGCAGAAGGATACTTGAACAGTTTGATGCCATAGCAAGTAAGCTTTTCCAGAAGCCGAATAAAGATTAGCATTAACAATGACATAACGAGATAATCGGCTGATTGTCACATTCACAGCAACTTTTAATCTTATCCACATATAATAGTAAAGATGCAGCTCAGTGTGCGGTCCGATGTGTAGGTAATAAAGTTAGTAGAGAAGAGATATACATGACTGAACCCAAAACAGGGCAGAAGAACAAAACGACCAACAAGCGAAGATGGAACAAGCTCTTTTAGACATAACTAAACCACTAATCAAGCACCAGAAATGAACAGACTGCTCGCCCTCGCCCATGCCTTTTTGTCTTAGGCTGTTTTAGAGACATAGGGCACGAAGAAAAACTTGCGCCTACAGAGTTTTTGCGTGCAGCAGAAAGATGCTATGATCAGCTTGCTAATCAGATTAACAGATTGAGACGGACATTCGTAGATAGGAATGGGCTTCTGTGTAACAAATTCTTGCACCTTCTTATGTTTCCATGTTCATCGCATAATATCGTTTTTTTTTTGACCCTACTCTTCGACACTAAACGAATAATAAGATTCAAAAGTCATGTCCAACATAAGAAAGCGAGACACATTAACCAATATTCATGCTAAGAAACAAAGTAGTGAGAACTTGCTTCCACGACGAGCAACTACATCAACACTAAACAATTTATAGGGCATTCGCAAAATCGTGACGATGGCGCGACCGCACGCGACACGCACGCACTCCTGACAACTGCATTTTCTTGGGCTTCATCATTACTCGAGCGGTTCCCCTACTTGCATATGACAGTATTTAAATGCTGGAACTGACTGAGCTGGGAGTTGAGGTGATGCCTTTTTGTATGAGTGTTTTCCAGCGGCGTAACCAGGATCTCCGTTCAGGGGGGGGGGGGGGCAACAAAAAATTTTTGGGTGAATTTGTCTGGCGTTGGCCACTCCGAAAAATTTTTGGGATGCTTCCCAATTTTTTGAGTGCCCTTAACCCCAAAATTTTAGAAAAAGGGGCAGTCATGCCCTCGAAAATTTTTTACTAGGCTAGTCTAAATTTTTGAATATTTTCAAAAATAATTTTTATTATTTACAAAACAAGTCGCTTGCACATTTTTATAGCACATTTGAGTTACGTTCAAAAATTTCGCGACCCATTCTCGGGGGGGGGGGAGGGCGAAGCCCCCCCCCCTCGGTACGCCATTGATTTTATGTCCTATGGGCGCAAAGGCCGCAAATCCGTCGCCACGATTTTGTGAATGACCTATCCTATGAAGGCAGTGCCGCACATTTGAAAGCAGTCACTCTCAGCAGTTCACTGAACCGCTGCCCATGCAAACCATAGCCCGGTTGCTACTGCAAAATATTGCTTCTGAAGCGAAAAATCAGATCTAAACATATATGCCCATCGATTTTACTGAAGCAGAAAATTGTGGCGAACACGGTCGCGACGCTGTCTTGGCTGCAGCGGTGTGCCCCGCCACGATTTCCAAAAAGCGAGAGGGGGAGAATACGTTTAAATCTGAAGCAATTTTCTCGCTTCAGAAGCAATATTTTGCAGTCGCAACCGGTCTATGGTTTGCATGGGCAACCCGCTTCAGTAATTGAGACTGACTGCTCCCAAATCTGCCCGGACACTGCCTTTAAGCGATATGATGTACTGCCGAGTGAGGTTATTGGGATACACGGCACATGTTGTTTGTGCTGCTGGAGAACAATGTAGCACACAATCAATATACAAAATGAGTTAACGGATATGCAGATGACCCGGAGCTCATCTGCAAACGCATGCACATGCAAGGCTAGGGTAAAGGATAAATTAAGGATAAAGGATTACTGTCCCCATTGCGCAATCTACTTGGTCAAAATTAAGCAAGAGAGGAAAAAGAAGGTTAAATATTTCAACTGGCACTCAATGTGAGATCAAATATAAAGGAATTATGTCCAGCCACATGAGCACACAGTAAAGCCTCCAAAACGCTTGTACAAATGCCGCTTTAGGAATGAAGGTATTTTGGCTAAACTGTACAACACCACTGGAGCTCCGACGTCAATAAATCGCATAACATAATCAACGAAGCCTTTGGAAAGTCACTTTGATGGCACCAGAATTATGACTACGGCGGAAGCCATCCTTGGTGAAATGCATGTGCTATTGATATTGCGCCCAAAACGCATCCGTTCCGGACAAACTCCTGCATTGTAGTCTTAGTGACTTACGAATTGATCAACAAGTCAACTAGATAGCCAAGAAATGCTCATGTGGACGAATGACAACCTAAAGTACCACAGCCTTGAAGCCATCACATGGTCAAAATGTCTGCCCTTTTACAACAGCTTGTGATACGCGAGCGATTTTTGGGGGGAAAAGTTGGAAGTAAACATCATAAATCCCCTCCGATGAGGGACCCACTGATAATAACACTGAAACGCGACTCAATGCTTTTCTTTATGTGATTTCATCCCCCCCCCTTCCCCCCCCCCCTCTTGTACATTATAGGCAGTGTCCCGGCAGATTTTGCATTTCCATCTCTCTGCATGTTTTGGGCCTTTTCGACACGTAGAACCCGAATCTCAGCTTTGAACGGGATGAAAAGACCGTTTTTAAGGTGTTACCCCAGTCTCCAAAATACAGTCCGGACGAGAATTTTGATGGAAAGTTGGGACCCACGAAGACCCTGCCGCCTGTAATTTTTGCTTTGGATGGCATGCACAAATGGTAGGTGCCAGAGTAAGCGAATATTTTGTTCACGTTGGGGTCCCGCGCAGAATGGACGTCACTCACCTGCTGGCATCAATCCAAGTGACGTCAATTCTGCGCCGGACCCCAACCTGAACAAAATATTCGCTTACTCTGGCACCTACCAATGCGGGGGCGTTCGTGGGGTTCCGCGCCGAACAGGAGAGCAAAGCCGTCCAAGCGCGTGCCGATTGGGGCTGCGCGCGCTGGTTCGGGGGCTATTTTCTCGGCGCAGGGGCGATGTCAACCAGCCAAACTGGCCCTGGAGGCTACTAGGGTGACCAGGAACCCCACCACACCTATATCACCCAGGGCGCGAATTTGCCGGAACACTGCCTTTATGAAATAAGAATGGGTGTAGGGCGCGTTAGGCGACAAACCCGATTTTTTGGACCCCAAAGAACTTCCCGTGCAAAACGTCTCCTCCGCCAAAAACAGGGGGTGGGGGTCGGGGCCGATACATTACCCGACGCCAATGAAAAAATGGTGCATAGTTCTGAGTTACGGGATTTACGTCGCTTGCGTTTTGCACGATTTGTCGCCTAACGCTTGCCCTTCGATAAGTAAGAGATCTAAGAGATGTAGTCAAACTAGAAGAAATGCTCGACAAAAAAAAACGGGTAAAAAGCAAAACAAAAAGAAGATTAACTGCAAGCAAACAATAACCCATAAATGAAAATGACGGTACCTCACGTACAGCTGGCGAGTAAACTGACGGGTACGTTAATTTTTGGTGGTAAACCTAAGAAAAAAAATAAACTAGGTGAAGAGGTAAAAGAATAATCCAAGTAAGGTATTAAAGACAAATGTAATGTAAGAAAACAATACGGTACATCACTAAAATAACCTAAAATAGGATCAAAGTGTTGTGCGCAAAATCGTACGGCGTACACTTAAGATTGAGGACGATTATTCTTTCGAATGCGTTAGGAAAATCAGAGCAGTGATGCATTCTGCAATGAAAGCAACAAAAAAAAAACGAACAATTCTCAGGAGCATACATCGAAGCGTGCCAAAGTCCTCACCATCCAGTAGCTAACCAGATCACCTGCCATGAGCACATGTGTTAAGATGTTTTACACGTCGCAAAAAGAAAACAAATTTCTAGCTTGCATTTGAGCACTCTCATCTGATATTCAAATGAAAAAACTCCTCATATGAATAATGAACTCCGAGCAAGTCACTAGCGCTGAGCAAAGAAACGCTGTAAAACGCAGAGCATCGCTGCACGTGTAGCATCGTAAAGGAAATTTGGTGCATTCATGCGAGACAAACAGACATGAATGACATTGCCATGGAAAGCGCCCTAAAAGCAATTACCCGAAGTTAAACGTAGAAATAAAAGATATGGATTGGTTTATTACGACAGCCGTCGCAGTGTGGAAGATAAATGGCAATACAATTCATGCTAACTAAAAAGCATGCAAAGACACGTAAAATTAAACAATGATTAACGTAAAAGCAGCAGTACAAATATCTTGCATGAAAGTCACTTTCAAACCCTTCTAACATGTGTGGATTCTTCTGCAATGCTCGGAAATGCTAGCGAAACATGCAATAGAGTTGATCGCGTGACCACAATTCCCTCGAAGGTAAGCGGCTGCGACGCGGTTCTCATTGTAGCCCCGCTATGTTCCACATTACGTCATCAACTCATAACTGATTTCGCTTTATTTCGCTTTCTGAGAATCGACATTGACGGACACTCTTTATGAGATATCGTAAAACAGTCTTGGAAATTAGAGTAAGTGGCTCTTCCCCTATGGCAATCTAGTAAGTTTAGTTCTAGATCTTCAGTGCGAAATGTTTTTGTATCTCGCATGTGCTGAGTGAATATAACGACATCCACTTCTGGTTACGCTTTCTGGGATTACGGTAGTTACACTGTAATTTTTCTCAAAACCAGATAAGAGTACATTTCACTTAGCGAACTTATCATGTGAAACCAACATGATATCAAACCCTTGAACTTAAAATTGTGCCTGCTGAGAAAAAAGCAATGAAAAGTGAAAAATCAATGAAGTCGATGAACTTGTCAACACGATAGCAGATGTTTTGAGGGCCCCGTATCTTCTGTGACTATGCAGGCTCCAAAAATCCAATGTGATTTTCTTCTCTAACATACACGTCAGTACATGAAGTTGTAACGCTGGCGTTTGACCGTAGGTCATCATGTTCGGTCTCGTAGCTGGGTACAGGTATATACCTGACAGTGGCGGTGGGCCGGGGGGGGGGGGGGAGGGGCCTCCGAGAAAGGGCCGTGAAATTTTTAAAGTCTCTTACTTGAGTTGTAAAAATGTGCAAATGACTTCTTTATACTTCTAAATAATCAAAATAATTTCTAAAACTTTCCCAAAAATTCAATTTAGCTCAGTGCAAATATTTTAAAGGGCGTGACTGGCCTACCAGAAATTTGGAAGGTACCCCCAAAAAATTTTCTCAATGCATAGCTATCGCTATGTACCTCCATCCAAAAACATACGTTAAAAGGGGTTTTTCGCAGCCATTACCGTGTTGCTACTTTTTGGAGACCACAATGGAAACAGGTTTCTTGGTCACCTGAATAAGTAACTAATTTCTTCAAAGCCTGTACTGCTGAGTTCAAGCTTTGCGGTCGTCGTTGAAGTTGAATGCAGCATGCGATACTAGAAAGGCAGGTTTCCGCAAGAGAAAAGCTACCGTCGAGTCGTTGACGGCCGCAGGTCCAAGCAGAAATCATTGTATCACGATTCATGACACGCAAAGACTGGGCCCCGTTGCGTCTGACCAAGATAGTTCGTGCATGGGAAGACAGCAGATGGTAAGACGAAGAGCGCTCGATCGAAGAGACGCCGATGCGTCCACAGTCTTTGCGCGCTACGAATCGTCTACACATGTCGTACTCTCGTGAATTTCAGCAGCGTACCGCATGCTCCTCAACCTACGGCTAGTCCGTGCGCTCTACGAAACAATACACTTTTTACACGATGGGTACAGTATCTCCACTCACGAGCCAATGGGTAGAGGACCATATGTCGCCGAAAAAGGGCGGCCCCCGCGATCATTTGCGACAATTACGCACCCTTGTACATGCGCGGACATGCGTTCCTGCAGGGAATCCGCGCGGAACTCTTCCAAATTCGGCGACATATAGTCCTCCACCCCAATCGCGTTCTAGAGCCAATTACGCGGTCCGCCCTCAAATAGCGCTTTCACGTCTGGAAAAGCGGTTTATTGATATCTTTTGAAGCTACAAAGCACAGTATCGGACTTAGCTCATCCAGGGGAGCCGAGAACGATGAATATCCCAAAGTTGTCATTCTGCCGAGCCGCTGCCTTTAACACAGGAAACTTCTGTCTCCACGAGTACCCATACGCTGAGGTTCTAGGCCCAACCTCTTAATTTATGAGGCAGCCTGACCACTGCGTACGGCGATTGATAACAAGCAAACACTGGGCGCCGTTGCGTACGATGAAGATAGCTCGTGCTTGGGAGAGACAGCAGATAGTAAGAGAAACGGAAGAACGCTTGATCGTAGAGATTCCGATACGTTCGCAGTCTTTGCGTGCGATGAACCGCCTATACCTAACGCGGGTATCTTACGCTTACAGCATGTGAGAATTGCAGGCACGCGGGACGCATGGGCGTGTACTAAAGAATTAGGTGTAGGGCTTATCAAACGCAGTGTCGCTTGCATCAGCATCTCCACTGCCGCGCTGGACTCTGCATCTTTTCCGCGTACATGCTCTCTGACTTTCCCAAGGCGAGCGTAGGAAAGGCGAAGCCTCAATCGAATGGAAGTGATTAAAGAGCATGTTCGCGGGACTGGCGCAGAGTGCAGCGCGGGAGTGGAGATGCTGATGTAAGCGACACTGCGTTTGATAAGCCCTGTAGGCGCCAGACTAAACAATTATTTTGTTCAGGTGCAGAAGGCGCGCAGAATTAGCGTTAAAACTGCGCACGATTGCCTGTTTCAGCTGCAGAACGCGGCAGAAAACATTAATTTTGCGCGGTCCCGCAGCTGAAGCAGGCAATCGCGCGCAGATTTAACGTTAATTCTACGCGCCTTCTGCGGCTGAACAAAATAGTCGCTCAGTCTGTCGCCTACCTTAGGCGCGAGGGTCGCAAGATCGCACATAGACGTAGCGCGCGCGTCGCGATATTGGTGGGTGAAGGAACGAACACCTCAGTTAGGCACCGCCTCCGCGGACTACTGGTCCCAGCGCGATGTACAATAGTTGGAGGAAAGGACCAGCAGCCCGCAGAAGCGGCGCCTAGTTGAGGCGTTCGTACCTCTACCCCAGTGACAATATCGGGTAGAGGATATTGTCACTGACACGCGCGCACCAAATGTCTTGATGGCACGCGTTTGGCGTACTGCCGGACAAGCCCACAAAAAAGGCACGCCCTTTGCCGCATAGACCATAAACGTGCGTGCGCGGCACGCCCCAACTGTCTGGGTAGATGGAGCGATAGGTAGACTTTCTCAACAGGTTGCAATTTGATGTGCTTTTGGTGTAAGTTTACAGCCTTTGAAGACCAAGACAGCTTTTCTAATACTAAAAATCATTGCTAAAGGGCTCTGCGTGATTGCAAGAGTCAGCGAGTTTGCGGCCATTGCACACGCACGATGGGCCTACAAGGCCTACAAGGCCTCGAACCAGTCAAACAATCCCATACTTTTCAAAATCGTTTCAGGTAATTGGTAGCTAACATCCGATAGCACAAAAGCGTTTGAAAGGAGAAAGATAAGCAAGAAAGCTCAATGCGATGGCCGCAAACCCACCAACCTCTCCTCACGTAGAGTCAGAGCCTATAACGTCAGTTTGATCAAACCGTTTGCATTCCACAGAGACATTCCAGAAAATGATCACAAACTACCAGTCATTAGCAGCGAAAATTGTGGGAGAATGCATTAGAGCAGAACCATTCTGGTAGCTCAGTCCTTTCAGAAATAGCACTAAATAGTCTCACTATTTTATTTCTCAGACTGCGTAAACTTAGCGCACATCATCGGGATCAATTCTTGCAAAAGTACGGAAAAGATTCAAACGATTTTTAAGGCATTTGAAACACAAACAGAAGTCATTTCGTTCGCTACAACTTTGCACCCACATTTCCTACTCTCGCCAACTTTTGATATTCTTTGCTCATTACATACAGTGTAAGTTAACGTGCTGACCTTTGCCCTGTGATAAAACATGAGCATTATCGGATCTTTGTCAAACAGTGCACCATTGGCGCCAGAGCGTACTTGCTTTTTACAGCCGCTCCTTTTCCTAAATTCTCGAGGCGTTAGCTTTAGATTTAAGGTATGCTTCTGCTCAGTATCCTTTCGTGATGGTATACTTGCAATCCCCTTAAAGGCAGTACATCGGCAGAATGAGACCCGTGACAAGACAAGGTCACAGGGTAGGAGCCCCCATATGGAACCTATCGGTCAAAGTCCGATCTTTCTCTGCCACTTCTAACCCCCGAAATTTCAAAGCGAAAGCAGCGCTCATCTCCTGTCCTCTCCGAACCCGCCCACCCCATGGACGAGTGACTTCCGCGGTCAGAGCGCCAGCCGCAATGCTATAAGCATGAGGTCCGGCAACGACTCTACGTCTTCGCCACGACGGGCTTCGCGTTCACTCGTCCATGGGGTGGGCGGATTCGGAGAGGACAGGAAATGAGCGCTGTTTTCCTTTAAAGTTTCGGGAGTTAGAAGTGACAGAGAAAGATCGAACTTTGGCCCATAGGTTCCATTATGGGGCTCC